CGAGGGATGCGAAGGGAACAAAATCGTTTGCTGTGTTTCAAACCTTCTAGGTATGGAAACAGGTTCGGAGCCGAAGCTACAGTGCTAGTGAAATGTCAAGAGTTGTCGAAAGTCTCATGTACCTGAAATTTGTTTTGCATTTGGAGCTGAGGCAAAAGTGGGGGATCCCTAGCCAACCAGTCCGCCTCGCCTAGAAAAACAAGGTAACTCAGTCTCAAATGTTTTACAGTTGATGGCAGAATATCTTACTTGAGACCCTGGTTTTAAATAATCTAGGGTTACCGTATGAACCTTTGGAGAGAGCCCCGTTCAAACACCCGCAGGTTCATTCCAAGGGCCGCTGATGTACTTGCTAAAGGCGGCCGCAAATCCTCGGTTTTCCAGTTTTACGCTGAAAGCACCCATTGTCCCGTGTGCAGCAATGGGAGGGAGCGGTTTGCTGTCGTTGATTGAAGAGCAGTACCGCGCTCGCCTCTCAAAGCAGCGACAGCTCCTGGCGCGTTCGCGCTGGCTACTGCGACAGTGTAGATGGAATGCGACACGCTGGCGAATGCGACACTCGATGTTACTAACACGCTTCGTCGTGGCATTGCATCCTCAGTGAACGGATCACCACATACGTGGGAATAGCAACGGGACGCGGGGAAACACCAGATGTTACTAAATCCTTTTCGGCGCCAGAAAATCTGGCCTTACGCGGAATATTCCGAGAGTATGGCGCCGCTTCGTCCGCTGCTGCGGCCGTCGATTCAGCTACGATGGACTCCGCGACGAGCGGCGCAGATAAATCCACCTTCACGGTGCCGTTGAAATCCGCAACGGTGATGTTCAACAGCTCAGTGAGTTTGCTGACGGTGTCTATGCTACTGGTTACGGTCGCTGCCTGTGCCCGCTGATCGAGCTTTTTCTTGACAGCTGTCGTGTCGAACGATGCAGGTTCGGGCGACAGAGGAGATTCGCGATCGGGAAATTCGAGTTCGGGAAATTTGCGATCGGAAATTTCGGAGCTGACTCGGTGGCCCGCTGTGATGATATCTGTCTTGAGTTCCGCGACTGATGGTGTGAGGTCCGTTGGGAGGCCGTTGGTGGGAAAGCCGTCGCCGCTGTGTAGGAACCTCGCATTGGAGAGCGGAGCAAGGGTGAATAGTAAGGCGAGAGCGAGAGTGATTGCGCCGCGTGCCATACCTGATATATGAATAAATCGACTACCTAAAGAGTAAAAAACGATACTGTTTAGAGCTCGACTGTTGTAAGATGAAAATATAAAATTTCCTGCTACAAGCTCGCAGCTGGAGAGGTCGAATTTGTGCACAAGCTGGGACTGCATAGTTGGATGGAATCAAGGTTGCTCTCAATGAGGGGGTGTGAAATTATCGAGAATAGGGTTGTATTTTCTCCACCAGCTGCCAAGCATTCCCCCATCTCACCTCCCCCTTCTTGCTGCGCACAGAGAGGTTTTCGAGTCGCACGCTGATTGTACAGCGGAGAGGATCGGAAGGGAGGGGGGGAGGAGAGAGAGGTGCTGGTTGAACCGCGTTGACGACAGGTATCGAGTCGGGTCGCAAATCGGTGGGAAGCAGATGAGGACAAAGAAAGGTCACCGAAATAGTGGAGATAGAATTCGGAGGGAAAATGATGGAACCCTCGCCAGAAACTCGGCTCGTTTCCATGAGCGAAAATCCTCAAATGCTTGTTTCCTTGGCAATTATAGAATGTTTCCAACTAAATTTTGACAATATTAGGAAGTACTTTTATTACCACAGCTGTTCAAACAGCATTTCACTTCCAACACAGGCAAACCAAGCCCGACCGATTGTTGGTCAAGCAAAAACCAGGATAACTGCCTAGACAGCCTCGATCTTTTCTTCCTCCGCACTCTTCTTGCTGAGAGGCAGCAGATAGACCGCGGAGTATGGGATTGCCACAGCAATGCCTGCCAGTATCGGTGCAAGCCAGTAGATCCAGTGGTTGGTCCACAAACCCTGCCACACTGACGTTGCGAACGCCTGTGCGGGGTTAATAGTTCCACCGGACAGCGGCACGCCCACAGCAGTGGTCGTGAGAATGGAAAGACCAATCATGAGGGGTGCGAGGGCGATAGGGCCCCTGGGGTCCACAGCGGTGGAGAAAACGGTGAAGATGAGGAGCGAGGAGAAGAGCAGCACTGCGAGGAAACCTGTGCCCGTCGACGTGCCCGCGGGAAGCGCCGGTGCACCGAGGATCCTCTGTTAGAGGAGAGAGAGGAGAGAGAGAGAGAGAGAGAGAGAGAGAGAGAGAGAGAGAGAGAGAGAGAGAGAGAGAGAGAGAGAGAGAGAGAGAGAGAGAGAGAGAGGCCGACGGGAAGGGAGCGGAGAGAGAGCGCGATTCGAAGGAGGAGCGAGAGAGAGGGCGGAGAGAGAAAGAGAGAGAGAGAGAGAGAGAGAGAGAGAGAGAGAGAGAGAGAGAGAGAGAGAGAGAGAGAGAGAGAGAGAGAGAGAGAGAGAGAGAACGAAGAATAAGAATGCGTTAATAAGTTGAAAAGCAAGAACATGATGGGAGAGAAACGACGTGACGGAGAGCAATGCATGCAGCAACAACAGAGAGCGATTATTGAATGGGAGGTTGCACGTACGTTGAGAGCTGAGGGCAGGACGGCAGTTGCAAGGCCGACGCCGACAAGTGCCCCAACCATCTGCCCGATAATGTAGACCAGGGCGGAGACCACGTCAATTAGACCAGCAGCGAGCATGCCGACTGTGGTGGCCGGATTCAGGTGACCGCCGGAAACGCCAATCGTGCCAGCCACAGCGAGCGCGTAGCCGACACCATTACCCAAAGCGATGATGACCACAGTGGTGAGGGGCTCGACCTTGGCACCTCCGCCTGGAGCAATGGAAAGGGACAAAATGGAAGTTGATCAGGAATGAGCAGAAGAATGTGAGCGAGGAGAGTGCCTCAAATCAACGGCTCTTTCAAGGTGTGAAACACCCGAGTTTCCAAAATGTTCATGTTCTCTAGTTTTGGTCCGATTCGTAGACTGGCAGGTGAATGCATCGATGGTTCAGGTTGCTGTGACGTGTCCTAGATTTAGCCCACTCAAACAAATGCGAGAAAAAGTTGTTCTTTCCCCGCAAAGGAGCCAACAGCTATCTCGCCTTCTGGACCATGCCATATAACGAACACTTGTTTAAGACTGATACGAAACGGGAAAACCGCTTCCTAAGCGTCGGCAGGGAGCGAGAAATGGCGAGCGACTTACTGGTGACGGCGGAGCAGAGCACGCCTTGGAAGACGAAGTACATGGTTCCCAGGATCTCCGCGATGGCGCACTGGAGCAGCACCATGGGCGGCTTGAACTGCATCCAGCCCTTGAACACCTGAGGCGCCTTCGCCATTTTTTCAAGTTGGAAGAATCGAAAGCGCTGCTACTAAGCCAAGGCAGCGAAGGCGAGCCGAAACTCGCGTGTTGAGACGAAGGATGTGTCGAAGGTGAATTGAACACGAGGTTGATATGGACACCATTTCGGGTTTCTATTTATGCACGAGTTTGATGTGCTCTAGACTCACCTCACCACGACTTAGCGTCGCGTGTGAAGGATAGGCTTTCCCCCCCCAGCTTACATCCCGAAGGTACATGAATTGATATGGAACCTAGAACGCGTGCGGACCGCATGGCGGCTAGGAGCCTCCTAGACAGGCAGTCGGGCTATGTCTGACCCTAAGTCTCAATCAATCGAGGAGCGACTGTGAGCCACTTATTCAGTCGTTCCGTCTTAGGCACCACCTGCTCTGGTACCCTCCCCCCCTAGTCCACTTTCTCCTGCTCGTTAACCCGCACTGATTGACCATCAGCTTGTCTACTGTGGCGGTAGTTCCAGGTCATTTTAGGGTGGCGCTGATGCGAGACGTGGAGCTTGTGTCTCAGCCATTGGCGGCGACTGAATGGTGCTGAAAGGGTGAAATCGAGTTTGGATGAAGTTCCCGATTGTCCGTGCTTCTGGTTTAGGGAGGAAAACGCACTGCACCCAAGTTTCCTGCCAGGTACTGTATGTCTCTCGACGAAAAATCCTCTGAACTGAGATGCATTTATCCCTGATTTCGTTTCTGTCAACGACAGCTCTCTCCAATCAGTAAGTGCCTGTTGTCACTGTAGTTTGACCAGCTAGCACTCGTGCGAAATTCGGTTCGGGATGAGGTAAGGAACCGCCATTTGCAATCAACCACATGTCAAGCAACTCCCGCCACAGAAGCTGGGGCCAGAAATGTTCGAGGCCCGTTTTTGCTGGATGTGGCAAAACCTGCTACCACACAAAAACGTGCAAAACCGCAGAGGTTAAGGATATTTGGCTTAGGGATGTTTGGCTTATGAATGTTTGTTACAAGCCCCTCTCGGACATACCCATGATAATACACAAATTTCCCTCAAAAACTATTACTGGTCTTCGCTGCTGCTTTCTCCCTCCTAATATTTTGAATTCTGAAGGGCTAAAATACTGTAAAAGAGTGTACCTAGCGACAATTTGTTCCGGGCATGGGCGTTTATAAAGAAAAAGTGGCTTTCCATAGTGCACAATTAGCTTGGACTTCTCGACTCGTGTGCAGAGAATGCTATGACAGGGTCAGTCAGTACCAACTGGCACTCTCTCCTGTCTGCAACGTACTGGGGATCAAACAGACCCTTTTCTGGTCAAATTGCGCATTCAATGTGTAAACTATCCAGGAGGTAGGATGCGAAGTATTTCATTTATAAACCACTAAAACGGTATTCCTTCAGTATATGGGAGTGCTGAGGTAGGCAGAAAGCTTATGGCTGCTAACTTCCTGACTGAACATTGTGCCAGAAGATAATTTTTATTTATATATTTGCCAGGTGTACAATGGACAGAATAGCCAACCCGTAATCAACATCATGATATGCTACCAGACATATGCAACCCTCTGAATATAAACCAGAACGTCCTAAAAAAATGCTGAGGATGAAAATTCATTATTTTCAGCACTCAACCCACCTCTGAGAACCTTTACACCTTCTCATCATCATCATCACCCTTGTTGCTGAGAGGCAGCAGATAGACAACAGCATACGGCACCGCCACAGCAATGCCTGCCAGGATTGGCGCCAGCCAGTAGATCCATTGATTGGTCCACAGACCTTGCCACACCGCCGTTCCGAACGCCTGTGCCGGGTTAATGGTTCCACCGGACAGAGGCACGCCCACAGCAGTGGTGGTCAGGATGGTGAGGCCAATCATGAGGGGTGCGAGTGCGATTGGGCCCCTGGGATCCACTGCGGTGGCGAAAACGGTGAAGATGAGGAGCGAGGTGAAGAGAAGCACTGCCAGGAAACCTGTGCCCGAGGACGTGCCCGCGGGAAGCGACGGCGCCCCGAGAACCCTCTGTTACAAAGAGAAGTGTGGAACGAAACGGAGTGGAGGGATCACATGAAAGTTTTTGAAGAAAAGAAAATGGAAAGGCATGTAATCATGTGGCGAGGCAACACGCGATGATCACAGGAAAGGAATGTAAGCCAGAGCATAGGGCAAGAGTGTTAGCCGAGCAGATACCGGGAAACGGGTATCAAGTCATGAAGCGGAGACGTACGTTGAGAGCCGAAGGCAGGACGGCAGTTGCAAGGCCGACGCCAACGAGAGATCCCACGAGTTGCCCGATGATGTAAACGACGGCAGACAGCACGTCTATCAATCCGACGGACAGCATGGCGATTGTGGTGGCCGGATTGATGTGACCCCCGGAAATGCCGAGTGTTCCGGCCACAGCGAGCGCGTAGGCGACGCCGTTACCCAACGCGATGATGACCACGGTCGTGAGAGGCTCGATCTTGGCTCCTGGGGCTGCACAGCAAAGACGCGAGCGACAGAGTCAGAAAATTATTCGAGAAAAGTGGAAAACGATCCAAGGACGATAAGGGCAAGGAGGGATACAACTTATGCTGTGTAACCAGGTCTATAGACATCAGTCCTCGGGTCCTCTACTCGTCGTGTCATACGTGACCCATCAGTTTGCAAGTACACAAATTGGCAGGTGCACGCGTTATTGTGATTCATCATGCTCAGTTTAAGCCATGAAGTCAAAACCACTGCGGCAATGCACCAAACTCTTTTCGTCCAATATCCTCCTCGTGTGCCTCAACGGCTAATTCAAATCTATCCCACTTCACGGAGTGAATATTTGAATGCGATAGATGAGAAGCGACTTACTGACGATGGCGGAGCAGAGCACGCCTTGGAAGACGAAGTACATGGTCCCAACAATCTCCGCGATTGCGCACTGAAGCAGCACCATGGGCGGCTTGAACTGCATCCATTGCTTGAACACCTGCGGGGCCGGCGCCATTGCTTCGGAGTAGTTCGACTTTGCGTCGAAACGGCTGGGAATGCGAGGCAGTAGCGAAGGAGAGACTATCTCGCGAGATGATGCGAAGGCGTTGGGGCGTTGTTGAACACAAACTTAGCTTTTGCTTCAATCTTCGCGGCTGTTTATGCTCGAGCCTGGAGGAATGCTCTTGGCTCATGACTTCGAGTTCGACGCGAGCCGCGTATGAAAGATAAGCTTTCCCCCCGGCCTAATTTCTGGAGATACATGAATAGATACGGAACCTTCTTGAGGTCCGAACCGCGTGGCGGCCAGGAGTCTCCTGGACATGCAGTCAGACTATGTTTGACCCGAACCCGTCTCAATCAATCTTGGAACGACTGTGAGCCACTTACAACATATTCACTGAATATACTGTACTGGGTCTAAGGCACTTGGTACCCCCCTAGGACGCTTTCTCTTGATTGTTAACTTTGCGCGTCGTGGCGGTGGTTCCAGGTCAAATCAACATGGCGCTGATGTCAGACATCGGGCGTGCGTTGAACAATGGTGGAGGTGGCGACGCGCTGACAATACAAGGGGGTAGAACGCGGAAATTCCGAAATTTCTGGGCTTCTTGTTATGCGAAGCCGAACAGAATTTGGTACAGGTGAGGGGTGCTGAGGGGGAACTTCCATTTGAAATGGCATTTGTGACCTAGCGGGCAGTAGCAGGTCAGTGAATCGTAAGCGGCAAGCGGAAAGCAGAGTAAGGCTTCTTGATACTGTGTACTCAGTCTGATCACTGAATTTTTTTGCGGGCTGTCCTACCGTACGCTTAGAGAGCGGTATGGATTGGGTCAGATGTAACTAGGCCAGGTTTGTCTGCCAAGCTGGGCCAGGTGCCAGACCAATGTCCCTCCGCATTCCTCCTCCCACAGCCATTGTTTTGCCCCCCTCGGTTTTACTGTATATTTCTCATGGCATCCTTACTGTGCAATGGCAAGGTTGACCTGGATAAGGAGGCGTGAATTCCGGTCAGCCGCCAGTCTCGTCTGATTTGACATCGAGGACAGATAAGCTTCACACGTTGAGCCTTGGCTGATGTGGCAGACTCTTGACCACAGGAACTCGTGGGGCAGGCTAGTTAAGGGTTGTACCCTTGAATTAGAGACTCGAGTGGGGCTAGGTCTGGGACTCTGGGGAGTGTATCGGAGGTTCGTTCTGCACCTCGTCGTCCTTTGAACCTGTGTGCCCGTCATTCGAAATGAAAGGAGGTGACACAAAGACCTCCTCGCCTCGGTGCCTACCTTGAAAGTTTGGTGTGGTTCACCATAGTTCTCGAGAGGTACACGCTACAAACTTCAACGCCTGTATTTTCTTACACTGTGAAAATGTGCAATTTTAATCCAGTAGATTTGTAAGTGAGAATACAGTGCCACATTACTACTAAGCAGACCACATTGGGTTGCCCAGTCCAGCAGTGGGGAGAGCAAGCACAACTACACAATATAAGAGCAACCAGTCCTGCTTTTATAGCAATAAAATACCAAACGACGCAGACTGCGAACAGTGAGTGGTGATTTAGCTGTAGGAAAGAATATGAAGTCGATTTCTGTAACAGCAGAACTCCGCCCGCTCAAAACTCTCTAGCGCAGAGATCTCGGAACCCCATGTTCGCGCCAGCCATCCAATCATGGTACGTATTCACGCCGCCATACGCACCGAGAACTATCCCGCTCAGCCCGATAACCGACCCGAGCGCGAAAATAATCACCGACGGCTTGCCGTAGCGCATGACAATAGCGCGTACAATGGAAAGACCAGAGAAGGCCGCAACCATTGCGATTCCGGCAAAGACGAGGGCAACCTCGATGGGGATGCGGCCGAGGAGGTAGAACTCGAGCACGGAGAGCGACGAGGAGAACACCACCATGAAGGTGGTTGTTGCGGCGGTGACCTGTTGTGGGGAATGGGGTTGGTTGGGGGGGAAGCGGATGGGGGAATGGGGGTGAAGGAGGGAACATCTCGATGGAAAGATCGGTGAAGGCTGCAGCAGGTGAAGGCCGCGACCATGGCGATTCCAGCAAAGACGAGCGCGACCTCGATGGGGATGCGGCCGAGGAGGTAGAACTCGAGCACGGAGAGCGACGAGGAGAACACCACCATGAAGGTGGATGTTGCGGCAGTGACCTGTTGTGGGGAATGGGGTTGGTTGGGGAGAGAAGAGACATGACTGGTGAGTTGGTGAGCAGCATGCAAGCAGCACAACCCCCCTGTCTTTTGAGTCAAGTCAAAAGTCATCGTGCAAGCAGCAGAATCCCCCTGTCAACCTGACAGATGCAACTCACCTGGGGGGGGGGAGGTTGAGTTCGAGCAGCACAGGACCCATGACCATGCCGCCTCCTATGCCCATGTCTTAGCAGCACACACGCAGAAGAATTCCCCACCTGTCAGCCTGACAAAACTTGAACCCACCTGAGGAGGCAGGTTGAGCTCGAGCAGCACAGGGCCCATGACCATGCCGCCTCCTATGCCCAGCAGCCCGCCCATCACCCCAGCGATGAAGGAACACAGCGGATACCCCCACAGCTGCTGCATGCCCCAGTGCGCTGTGTGGTACTCTCCCCTGCTGCTGCTGCCACCGTCCCTCTGCTGCTGCTGCTGCTCCGATGCTTCAACACCAGCAGCAGCACCACCACCAGCAGTACCAGCAGCAGCAGCACCACCACGGCCTCGGGAGTTTCTCCTGGGAGACGGGTGGCTCTGCCTGTAGAGGCGGAACGCGCCCACGAGGGTGGCGAGCAGAGCAACGGGGATCTGGAGCGCGTTGAGCAGCCAGTAGGGGCGGCTGCAGTCGGGCGTGTGCTGCTTGGCTAGCTGTAGGGCGAGGAAGGCCGCCCAGACTAGAAGGAGCTCCATCACTGACCGCCAGTCCACCAGCTGGAAGAGTGATGCCTGGTGGGGGCGAGACACGGGAGGAAGGGGAAATGGGGAAGAAGAAAGGGCAGAGGGAAGGAGGAGTAAGGAGAGAGTGAGAGGTAGAGCGAGGGGTGGAGCCAGGAGGGGAAAGGGGATGAGGAGTTGAGTGCAGCACGTTGAGCAGCCAGTAGGGGCGGCTGCAGTCGGGCGTGTGCTGCTTGGCTAGCTGTAGGGCGAGGAAGGCCGCCCAGACTAGAAGAAGCTCCAGCACTGACCGCCAGTCCACCAGCTGGAAGAGCGACGCCTGGTGGGAGAGGGACGAGGGGGAGTGGGAGAGGGATGGAGGGGTGCGTTTGTGGTAGAGACACCACACCATGCTCAACCACCAGCCACACGAGTAGGAGCTCCATCACTGACCGCCAGTCCACCAGCTGGAAGAGCGACGCCTGGTGAAAAGGTGAGGGGGAGAGGGAGAGAGGAGTGGGTGGGACAGGGACGAAGAGGGGGTGTGATTGTCAGGGCGCCACACACCACACGCCCCTGAGGGTAGCGAGCAGGGTCGACAGGAATGAAGAGGCCGTTGAGCAACCAGTAAGCGCGGCTGCAGCCGGTGCAGATCAACAAGCAGATAGATCAACTAACCTCCAGCAGTGAAGCTCCTCCATCAGACTCTTGGTGCGCACTGCAAGGCTTGACTTGACTTGACTTGACTGCACCACACTAACACACTTCAACTCACCTCCAGCGGGGCTCCAAAGTGAAGCTCCTCCATCAGATCAGACTCTTGGTGCGCTCTGCGGCAGACCCCTGCACCGTGCCTCCGAGCTTTGATCTCACTCCAGGCATGGCGTGAGGCTTGGAAACATCAAACCTTCGCTCAACTCAACTCACCTCAAGCGGGGCTCCAAAGTGAAGCTCCTCCATCAGACTCTTGGTGCGTACTGCAGACCCCTGCGACGTACTTCCCCTTCCTCCCCCTCCTCCTCCTCTACCTCCTCCTCCACCTCCTCCTCCTGCTTCTCCTCCTCCTCCTCCTCCTGCCCCTGCTCCTGATGCTTCTGGCTGCAGCAGCGGGGTGGTGAGCCCCCCAGAAGCAGCAGCAACCTTGGAATGGACCTGAGACTCTGAATCAGACGCTGAGTCAACCCCTGAAGGAGCAGAAACAGCAGACGGGTAGGAAGCTTCCTGCTGCGGCCTCTCACCCTCTCTCCCTCGCACTTCCTCCCTCTTCTTCTCCTTCTTCTTCTCCTTCCGTCCCTCCTCCCCTCCCGTGTGATGAGGCGATTTTTGAGTCGACTCAAAAACTTCCTGCTGCGGCCTCTCACCATCTCCCCCTCGCACTTCCTCCCTCGTTCCAGCCCTCCTCTGCCCCTTCTTCTCCTTCTTCTCCTTCCGTCCCTCCTCCCCTCCCCTCTCCACCCCTCCTGACTCCCCATCCTCTACCCCCTGCCCCGGCACGTCCAGACGCACCCCTCCGTTGATTCCACCTGAGAAAAACCCTGAACCAGCAGCAGAATCACCAGCACCAAAACCACCACCAAAACCATCATCATCATCATTATCCTCCAACCCAGCAGCAACAGCCGAAGCAGCAGCAAGAGCAGCAGACAGACCGAACCCACCACCGACCATGCGACCAGCACTCCCACTCCCGCGGCTGTAACTCCCTCCGGCACCCCCCCGGGGACTCAGCCCTCCAGCACTAGGGCTCACAAACACAGGCGGAAGCACCGGCTCAATCGAACCCAGAATCCTGCGACCTTTGCTGTTTGCGTTGCTGGTGCTGGCAGCAGTGGCAGCAACAGCGTCAGCAGCAGTGGCAGCGCCAGTGGCAGCAGTGGTGGTGGCAGCAGCGACAGTAGTGGTCCGGGATTCGTCCTGGTCTGAAGGTCCGGTGCTGCCAGTGCTCGGCCCGGCATTGCCAGACCTGTCAGTGTCGTCCGGTGATATTCCCACTCCTGGACGCCCGGCATAGTGCGTCTCGCTCCCGAACCCAAACACCCCCTCCTCCCGAGCCAAGCCGTCCCGAGCCTGGCCTTCCCAAGCCAGGCCGTGCCGAGCCAAGCCCTGGTACTCCACAGCCCCGTGGAGGCTGGAATCTGCTGGCTCGCCCACACTCTCGCAGTCAAAGAGCGCTCGCACGGAGTGGGCGTGGGATCGGGCGTGCAGGGAAGTGGAGAGGCGGAGCACGTCCGACCAGGAGGAGGGCAGCGAGGTGGTTCGGTCTGATGGGAGCAGCCGCGGGATGATGGGGCGGGGGGGTGCTGGGGGGAGGGATGCGGGGAGGGGGGAAGAGAGGAATATGAGCAAGAGAGGTCGCCTCAAATAAAGGCTAACCCACGCTCTCACAATAGAAGAGTGCTCGGGGGGGAGTGGGAGAGGGAGGGGAGGAGTGGGAGTAAGCATGGGCGTGGGATTGGGTGTGCTCGGAAGTGGAGAGGCGGAGCACGTCCGACCAGGAGGAGGGCAGCGAGGTGGTTCGGTCCGATGGGAGCAGCAGCGGGATGATGGGGCGGGGGGGCGCTGGGGGGGAGAGGGGGGGGGGGGGAAAGGGGGACAGGGGGAACATGAAAGAAAGGGGGACAGGGAGGTGAAGATAGGCTCTGTGCTGGCTGGAAGACGGGTCACGGGGGGAGGGAAGGGGAAAACCAGGAGGGGTAAGGCGGAAGAGGGGAGATGTTGACACTGAGAGACGGGAGGACATGGTTTCTTGGTGATACAAGCACGAGTTCTTCGACTCCTAACCTTCGACTCCTTGGCATACCACGGCGCGGCAGGCTAAGTACCACGGCACGGCAGGCTAAGTACCACGGCACGGCAGGCTAAGTACCACGGCGGACACTTCCCCTCGGGACACGAGCAGCAATGACATTTAACCTTGTCACATATAAAGCAATGACATCTAACCTTGTCACATATAAAGCAATGACATCTAACCTTGTCACATATAAAGCAATGACATCTAACCTTGTCACATATAAAGCAATGACATCTAACCTTGTCACATACAAAGCAATGACATTTAACCTTGTCACATATAAAGCAATGACATTTAACCTTGTCACATATAAGCACATGACTAGCACTTACAGGAATCGCTGAAGGAAGGGAGAGGGGTTGCCCTCACAGCAGAATGCTGCGGATGGGGAGAGAAGGATAAGGACCAAAGAAGAGAGGAAGAAGGGGGGGAGGGGATGGTGAGCAGAGGACAGGGATGAGAGGGCGGGGAGTGTAAGGAATTTGGATTTTGATTCGAACCTGCCTGCCTAGAAATGTGATGTGCCTTGACTTGATGCAGTGTTGACCTGTGTTGACCTGTGCTGACCTGCGTTGACTCTCTGACTGACTCACCTGGTGTGCCACCTGGGACTCCTTCATCCACATGGTACAGGACGCTGACCTGCGTTGACCTGCATTGACCCGCATTGACCAGCGTTGACTCTCTCTGACTGGCTCACCTGGTGTGCCACCTGGGACTCCTTCATCCACATGGCCACACCCTTGTCCAGCGTCTTGTATGTCATCACTGCACGGGGTTGGGTGGGGTTCAGTGCGGTGAAGGGCGGAAGAATGGGGTGTGTAAGTGAGTGAGCACGGTGTGGTGCGATGCATGCTGCATGGGACTCTTTCATCCACATGGCCACGCCCTTGTCCAGTGCCTTGTACGTTATCACTGCATGGGATGGGGTGGTATGTGGTGCGGTGCGGTATAGGGTGATGACGCATGAGAGTTGTCAGTGGGTATAACATGGTGTGATGTGTGCTGTGCGGCATGTAATATCCACACGGCATGGCGAAACCTTTGTCCATTGACCTGAATGTCATACTGCATGGGGGGTGGAGTGTGGTACAGTGCGGTAATCCACTCGCGCGGGCTTACACAGAAGCAGCAGGAAGAGCATGACTGTAATGAGCCAGGGCGGGAAGATGACGTTGCAGGTGACGCCCACACTGATCCCCAGCAGCAGTGTGAGGGCCTTTGAGGCGGCTCAAAAGTCGTCCCAGCAGCCGTGTGAGGCATTTATGACACTTGTCACAACCCAATAGAAACAAATACACTCACATGGCCTCTCACACGCGCACTCACACGGTCACTCACAGAGCAGCAGCAGGAAGAGCATGACCGTAATGAGCCAGGGCGGGAAGATGACGTTGCAGGTGACGCCCACACTGATCCCCAGCAGCAGCGTCAGCTGCATAAGGCGCGCCAAGCCACACCCACACCAGAGCCACACGAACCAGCAACATGAGTTCACAAGTGCTCTGCTGTGAACTCACACAGCACGGGCACTCACAGAGCAGCAGCAGGAAGAGCATGACTGTGATCAGCCAGGGCGGAAAAATCACGTTGCAGGTGACGCCGACGCTGATGCCCAGCAGCAGCGTGGGCTGCATGAGGCGCGCCAAGCCGTAGTCTATCAAGGGCTGGTGGAACGTGGGGTGCTTCAGCTGCACGTTGAAGCACACACTTGCCAACGCGCCGCCCATTATCATCGCTGGTGGGGGAGGGCAGGGAGAGCAACAGGAGGGCAGGGAGAGCAACAGGAGGGCAGGGAGAGCAACAGGAGGGCAGGGAGAGCAACAGGAGGGCAGGGCGAGCAACAGGAGGGCAGGGAGAGCAACAGGAGGGCAGGGAGAGCAACAGGAGGGCAGGGAGAGCAACAGGAGGGCAGGGAGAGCAACAGGAGGGCAGGGAGAGCAACAGGAGGGCAGGGAGAGCAACAGGAGGGCAGGTAGAGCAACAGGAAAATTGGGGGTGAGGGCAGAGGGTGAGGGCAGAGGGTGAGGCGTGCCAAGCCGTAGTCTATCAAGGGCTGGTGCTGGATCGTGGGCTGCTTCTGCACGTTGACTTTTGAATCGACTCAAAAGTCAACTTGCTTCTGCACGTTGAAACACACGCTCGCCATCGCGCCGCCCATTATCATTGCTGGGGAAGGAGGGTGGGGAGAAGGAGGGGAGGCAAAAGGGAGGCGACAGGACAGGGGGGACTGGTGGGGGGGAAAGCAGCAGCGTGGTTGACAATAGGTCTTTCTTAAGTCACCTCCAAGACGCAACCAAGCAGCAGGTTGAAGATGGGCACAAACAACCCAGCAGTAAGTCGAGTGGGTGAGCTGGGCTGGTTTGAAAGCCATCCCTTCACACTCACATTTGGAAAGGGCGGTGGATGTCTTGGCGTCGTATCCCAGCAGCAGATTAAACATGGGCACGAATAGGCCACCTCCCCCAACGCCCCCTGCATTGGCGAGTGCTGCTCCCACGAGGGAGATGAGAGCGGCTAGCACGACCCGGGGACCGAACACAAACGGCTGTTTGGGTCACACGGGGGATAGGGAGAGCGAGAGGAGAGGGGTGAAGGGAATGAACGTGCGATGGAAGGGAGGGGGAGCAAAAGAGCATGTGCAACCCTTCCCACACTTCATCGCCCCTGCATTAGCGGGCGCTGCCCACACGCGGGGGATCGGCGCAGCTAGCACGACCTGAGGATGGAACACGACCGGCTGATGTGGTAGGGAGAGGAGAGAGAGGGAGGGAGGGAGAGGGAGAGGGAGGGGAAAGGAGAGGAGAGGAGGGGAGCGGAGAGGGGGAGGGGAGGGGAGGGGGAGGGGGAGGGGGAGGGAGACGGGAGGGGGAGGGAGAGGGAGAGGGGAAGGGGGAGGGATAAGGGGAGTGGGAGGGGCAGGGGACTGGGGAGGGAAATTCAGTGTGGAAGGTGGAGGGTGAGTGTTTACAGGTCATCTTTTATCGCCCAGCCATGCAGCAGTGGGCTTCGACACTCGCAGCAGGGGAAGCAGCGGATGAGTGAGGGGAGGGGGAGGGGGAGGGGGAGGGAGAAGGGAGCAGGGGAGGGGAGAAGGAGAGCTTACGGGCCATCTCTTATCGCCCAGCCATGCAGCAGTGGGCTTCGACACTCGCAGCAGGGGAAGCAGCGGATGAGTGAACACACTGCTGCTGCTGCTGCTGCTACTGTTCGCACTGCTGCTGCTGCTGGTGCTGCTGGTGGTAGTGGTGATGGTGATGGCATTGCTGCTGCTACCGTTGCTGCTGATGCTGTGTTGGCTGGCCCTGGAACCGCTCTGCACCGCTGGCGACGCTAGAAACGAGTGGAACCGACCAAACAGCCCCGCATGCCTGCCTCTTCCGCTCGTTACAGTCACTTCCGCCTCTCGCCCTCTCGAAGCCTCTCCTTCCTTCCCTCCAGCACGGGTCTGAGCCCCAATCGCCTTGCTCCCCCTCGTTATGATCACACCTCCTGCTTGCGCTGCTTCCACAGACTCATGGGGCGCATCCGCTAAGGCATTCGGCATAGTCGCATTCGGCCCAGTCACATCCCACGCTGCCACGTCCGATACTGTCACATTCTCCCGAGCAGCAGTTCTCCCCCCAATTGTAGAACCTCGGATAGAGTCAACTCCGGCGCAGAGCACAAGAGGACAGGCGGGTAGCAGCAGGAGGAGCAGCAGCAGCATTAGCGGCGCCAGCATCCCCACCCCCATCATCCCCATCCTCATCGTCTGTTTGGGTGATTTGAGTAGCCGCAGCCGACAAAAAGCGTATACTAGCGGCGGCAGCGGAGAGAGAGAGAGAGAGAGAGAGAGAGAGAGAGAGAGAGAGAGAGAGAGAGAGAGAGAGAGAGAGAGAGAGAGAGAGAGAGAGAGAGAGAGAAAGAGAGAGAGAGAGAGAGAGAGAGAGAGAGAGAGAGAGAGAGAGAGAGAGAGAGAGAGGGAGATGGACAGAGGAGGAATAAGGGCTTTACTATGCTAGCGGGGGCAGCAGGTGGCGTGGGGGGCGCTGGAAACAACACGGGATGGCGTGAATAGAACAGATGAGTTGATGCAGTTGAGGGGTGATTACTGTGGATTCTGGAGGAGTGGTTACTGCGGATTCTTCTAAATGGCCAGCTGCTGATCCAGAGCGCGTGCACGTGCTAAGCAGTTATAAACTGGTGCTGAGCTACTACAGCACCCATAGCATGCGCACGCAACGCAAGCAGCAGCAGCAGCAGCAGCAGCAGCAGCAGAATAACCTTGTAGTAGCAGTCTAGCTGCTGCTGACTAGAAGTCCATAGCATGTGCCACGTCACGTGTTACGCAGCGACAACTGCAGCATAGCATGTGTGGCGTGCACGCAGCCACAAGTGCGGCCCAGCACGCATGATACAGGTGGTAGTCTGGCAGGCCGCTCAACAGCAGAAGCAGGTTATGGTGGACAGCAGAATTAGTAGTAGTCACAGCGAAGCGGACCACACCAACGGGCTTCGGAACGGAACGGTTATGAAAAGACGAGCTCAGTGCCTGCCTGTCGCCAATGCAGCTGCCAGGGCACGTCAGCGCGAGGAGAGACCAGGAGTGAGCAGGTACGAACTGGTAACAGCAGAGCACAGCAGAAGCAGGTAAAAACTAGTAGTAGTGACCTCGAACCACACTAACGGGCTTCGGTTCGGAACGGTTGTGAAAAGACGAGCTCACTGCGTGCCTGTCGCCAATGCAGCTGCCAGGGCACGTCCGCGCGGAAGCGACGGTGGAGAGAGAGAGGAACCTTCCCCGGAAACCCGGGAACGTGCAACTTGGGTACAGCACCTGTCGACGGGGCGGAATCCGCGACTCGCGGATTGGAATGGGGAACTCGCACCCTAGAAATGCTATTCTCGTACGGGGAGAAGGGAGGGGGGAGAGTCTAGCTCTCGAGGCGCCTCGAGACTATCCCTTACGGATAGGAGTGGGGAGGGGAGCTCGCACACTATTAATGCTCGTAAGGGGAGCAGCGAGCGATCTAGCGGGACATCATTCCGCGAAGCGGGAGCGGGAATCTGGAAACTAAAGGGACATGCGCATGGGCAGAGAGACAGGGCTTAGAGGGGCGTGGAGGGAAGTGGCGAGAGGGGAAGTGGCGTGGCATGGCGTGGCGGCTTGTGCGCGTTCAGACGGGGAGGGCTTTATCTGAGCTGGGGGTTCCGTTCCGATCCGACGAGTCTCTGATTTGCCGCGAGGCTACGCTTCGCGGCACGCGAGGACGGAACCTACTGGCATGGCATGTGATTGTGAAGATGAATGAGCCTCGTCGGATCAGCCTGATCAGTCGAGCGAAGAGTGAGTGAGTGAGTGAGTGAGCCTTTCTGGTTCGGGCGGGCGAGCCTGTGGGTTGTTTGTGGGTGAGCGAGAAAAACGGAAAAGTTCTCCTATTGGCGGTCTGCTGACACGTGGACCACGACTACTGTATACGTGTAGTAGCAGTGGTATGCGTGTACAGTACAATCCTCACGCTAGTACTATACTCAGTACTGGCTGGGAGGTCAAAAGCTGCGACAGCCATCGCTCTCGCTGTGCGACCGTTGCGATGTCATGCGAAGTCGCTACCGAGCCACGTCAGCGTTTGAGATGCTACCACAGGCGCCGGGAGGTGCGCGACTCACAGACAAAATGCAGCTGCTGCAGCAGCAATGGCAATCGAGGCCTGCGACGAGATAAGGTCGCCTAAGAAATCGTCGCGTGACATAACAAAGTTGTTGCCTCATTTTACGCAAAACCCCTCCACCATCGGAACGCGTACCGACCCATCCTGCTTTTCCCGCACCCGCTCCCTCCACCCGTTTCGATCCTCTCTGCTCCCCGGCTGTCATCGTGAGCTGATTCTATGCGCTACTTGGCGAAAGTGCTCCCCGTAAGTGCTCCCTCCCCCACAACCCTCGCCCGACCCGTCTCCCCTCCCCTCTTCTGCGGCGCGCGTGGCAGTTGCTTCCGTCGCGTCATCTCGCTCGCAGCGCTCTTGCTGAAGGTTGGGTGAATCTGGCACTTCACTCACTCACTCACGACACTGTGAAATGCATTGTTTCTGGACGAAACGGCTTGGGAAACCCTAAATGGCTCGAGGGAAATTCTGGTCAGCCAGCAGAGCGTCTGTGTGCTGCAGAGCGAGTCAGCACACGTGTCCAGATTCGACGGCTTTCAACAGAGAGGAATGTGAGAGGACACTTTAACTTTGATAAAAATCTGAACACTACAAAATTCATACGTATGAAAAATACAGCTGTAAGGAATTTTCCAAATTCCTTATTGCGCATCTGATTCAATCATGTAGGGCACTGTTCACAGACACTGGGGAGTCTGTGTTGAGCCCAGAAATCCGTCAATAAGGGCGCTTCACCTGAGGGGCGGAAGGCCAAAATCCGAACCGACGTATCAGTTTGACTGTACGAACAGTATCCCAAATGAGTTCGAACACAAATACGTACAATGAGCGAATGTGACACAGGCCATCACAGGTGACGCCATCGCTATTCGCACACGCGGTCTGTTCGAACACAGCGACGTCGCCCACAAAAGAGCGACGTCGCCAAGCATTGGGTCCCAAACATTGGCGACGTCTCGCCGGGTCGCAAACGTTCATGGGCGACCCGGAAGACTGTGGACCAATCATATCAGTCGTTTGTGCGGAATTGTGTGTCACCTATCCCAACCTGTTCGAACAAACGTGTTCGAACGTGCGGGATGATGAAAATCGTGCTTGAGGTGACAGCTCTGTTCAAATTGGCGAAATTGTGCTTCGCGACGTCACGAAAACCACTACGAACATAGGCGAAACTAGTAACGTTTCGCCTGTTCGAACGAGTGTGTTGTTCGAACCGACAGGTGAAGCGCCCTAACTTGTCGCGACCGTCCTATAAAACCTGGGCATGGGTCAGCTTAGCAAGACACCGTTGAGATGGGTTCACGAATATCAAAATGGATAGGCAAAAAAAAAAAAAAAAAAAAAAAAAAAAAAAACAGTGGGGCAAGTTCGAGTTTTCGAATGTCAAGATGGGTAGATGAAAACCTCACATCCCATGGTAGCATCCAACCCAACATTTTTTTGTCGGAAGTAGTTGGATATGAGGAAAGGGTAGAAAAAGGGGGAAATAGCACGGCTGACGATTCATTTTAAGCCTCCCTGATTCCGGGGAAAATGTTCCCCCTCCATTATGGGTGCACATTTTCCAGAAAAGCATTACCCTGATTGCTCAGGGTTGTAAAGTAGTTAACTCTGATTGTTCAGGGTCAAGAACTGAACATCAGAGTAGTAACGTGCGCTTTGTTACCGGGGAGAAAATCCCCACCATCCATAAAGTCTGCGCGTTTGTGATTGACCTATCTGGTGGCTGTACACTCGACTGATTTGTGCAGGGCGGGTGTGATTGGCCTATCTGGTGTGCAAGTGTAACGTTTCCCTGTCTTACCATGCCCAATCGGATCTCTTCAAATGGCATGCATCAGACACGCTGCTACTGTAGTGTCTGATTTATATGACATAGCTATTGTAGGCTATAGTGGGGTAGCACATATGGGGTACAACTTTCTAGGGTTTGTATTCGTACCCAACTTTCACATAGTCAATTCATTCTCGCTTCAGTTTTCTCATGGTATCGAGCAGGTTCCCTCGTAGGAACTGTGCCTAGGGCCCACCAAGTCGATTTTTTTTTCCTGCCCGGAGCGCGCTCAGCCCGAGTCGCGCTCCTCTCTCTGATCTCGTCGAGCCGCCCTAGCGGCTGCGTCGCGCCGCCCTCGCAGCCCCGATCCGTCGCTCTAGCGGCCCCGTGGCCCTAGCGGCCCCGTCGCCTAGCCCTACGGCCCCGGCGCCGCCCTTCCCGGCCCCGATCTGCCGCCTCGCGGCCCCGTCGCCTACCCCCGCGGCCCTCGCGCCGCCCTTTCCCGGCCCCGATCAGCCGCCCTACGGCCCCGTCGCCTACCTGCGGCCCCGGCCCCTTCGTCGACCCCGGCCCCGTCGCCTACTTGCGGCCCCTGGCCCCGTCGCCTACCTACGGCCCCTGCGGCCCCGTCAACTACCTGCGGCCCTTGGCCCCTGTCGCCTACCTGCGGCCCCTGGCCCCTGTCGCCTACCTGAGGCCCCGGCCCCGTCGCCTACCGGCGGCCCCGGCCCCGTCTCTTACCTGCGGCCCCGGCCCCGTCACCTACCTGCGGCCCCAGCCCTGTCGCCCGCCCGAGCCGCCCGAGCCGCCGAGTCGCCCGAGCCGCCCGAGCCGCCCAAGCCGCCGAGTCGCCGAGCCGCGGTTGCCGCCCGAGCCGCCCGAGCCGCGGGGTCACCGAGCCGCCCGAGCCGCCCGAGCCGCCGAGTCGCCGAGCCGCCCGAGCCGTCGAGTCGCCGAGCCGCCCGAGCCGCCCGAGCCGCCCCTGTCTAGTAAGAGCAGCGCCTCTTCCACTGCACTGCCCTTACCCTACTGCTCGCGCTACTAGACTACTGCTGTCATGGCCACCCCTAGTGTCCTCGCTTTTGACGCTGAGGGTCGGGCCATTGACTTTGACGTCTGGATAGA